CATTAATAGCAGCAGCAGCAGCCACTAAAATTACCCTTTTTCTCCGGAGAGCTCGATCGGATAACGATATATATATATATATATATATATATATATCCCATATTATCGATAAATAGTAAATGGTTGGACAGACTGGTTTCTATAGCCTTAGATGACAACCGGTCAAGGAGAAGGAAAACTTCAAAATCATCCTGGAGAGGATTTGGTTCCATCAATATATCTTTGCTCAGGAAACACCACTTCTACTGTGTTTGCTGTAAATATGGTAACCCTACGAATCTAATGAGTTACGGGAATCGGGATCGTGATATATATATATATATATATATATATATATATATATATATAACAGCAATTGTACAAATCGTGTAACAGCATGGGATAATTGCCCACCCCACAAAATGTTTAATATCTAAAAAGCCACTAAACAAATTATCAGTTTATCTTTTCCATGTTTTTAAATAAGACGTTTAGCCATCTTGACACCATTTGTCGTAAGAACCACTGAAAACCGCTTTGAGTTATTCAGCTAGAAAGAGAACAGGTTAAAATCATTTTGCGTCAGCCCCACCATGTCTTCCTAACTGAGCAATGGTGAGGAGAATAAGATCATTCAGGCCTTCAGTAATGGTAACAACATTTGTACTCTGATTTCCATTTTCAAAGTCCACTCAAGAACCATCAAGAGAACGGTGAATAAGTTTAAAAAAGAAGGAACAGTAGAGAGGAAAACTGAATCAGGAGGTCACAACAGGAAGAGGGATCATGATTTCAACTTGGAGATCAATTAGAAAAGATCCAACTCAATCCATGAGACATTTGTCACGTGAGAGAGGAGTTTCACCTTTGAGAGTCCAAAGAGCAGTGAAAAAAGACTTGAAAATGAAATCGTACGTGAAGCGTGTGAAGCAACTTTTTCTCCAGGACAGAAAGTTAGAAGGTTAGAGAGGGCGAAGATCATCTTGAATAAGTTGGAAAATGATCCTGGAATTATATATATATATATATATATATTAACTTTATTTCAATCCTCCATGAGCTTCCGATCCGATAATTAATGATGAACATGTCATTTTCGTTTATGATCGATTTTTTCATCACGATTATTCTGTTAAGTTTGGAGAGTAATGATACATTCTTATTGCTCAATGTAGTGTCCAGTAGCGTATTAAAAACTTCGGAGAATTCCATTAAGATATCTTTAATTATTTCTAAGGTACAACAGTTGAAAGCTTAATCTATCAAATGGACAATTTTGCTTTTACACGATTTAGACAATTTTTTGTTACACCCGGTATATATATATATATATATATATATATATATATATATATATATATATATATTGTGGTGGCGTCTCGTGTGTATGTGTGAAAATTGTAGTTTCTTCATTTTACAATATCAGGCACGTACGGAGTAGCATGATTAATTATCTGCATATCATTGATTTTCGAAGACCCGTAGCAAGAAAGAAAGAAAGAAAATAACAGCCTCGTTTCCAAATCTCAAGATGCAAATTATTCTACCACCCAGAATTCCGTTTTAGGAAATGACTCATTAAAAAGCAAAAGCTGTGACCAAGTTAAAATTGGCCGTTGGTTAATGACGGGGTCGGCATAAAAAAATCGATAGCTTAGACAGAACTCGTTGAAAAGGAAGGTTTTTATCATTTAAAAATTATTTCAGTTAATGAAAATCACGCACAGCACGAATTAATTCAACTGGAATATTAACGTGCTTAATGACATGCATGAAACACTACTTTCAAGAAATAAGTTACCGAAAAAATCCGCTCTGCATTCCAAATGAAAATACTGCCAAATACCAACATTGTAGAATTAAATTTATTAATTTACAATTGGCACAAAATATGAAGTATCCAGTAAGGCTCGAACTCACTATAAGAAATTTAAAAGTTCGATTTACTGGCCATTACAAAATGATGAGTCTCTGTTGTCGATTGGGATTCGTAGCTGAAACGGAAATACTTCTGATATGCGCATGCGCTTTATATATCGCCATAAATTTGAAATTAGTTTTACGAAATCAAGCAATGGGTCTCTAACTTGCTTGCTTGCTTCTTCCTATCCTCACTGCTGAGGGCCAGGGCAATTATTACGGTTTTGAATTCAGTGTTGTCCTTCTATTAGACTGGTGGTCAACTACGGCTAATCTGCTATTTAACCCATAGTTTAGAGGCGCTCTAGACTGGGGTTGTAGACGGTCTGAGATAAGGGTTCAAATCCACCGAGAAAGCAACGAGAAACCATTCAAATATTTTCTCAAAAAGTCATAGAATATCAAGTTTTCGGAAGGGCAAGGAAAACTAGGGAGGGCGTGAAGTGACGTAATTTCTTGTTAAACGAAAATGAATTAATGATGTTGCTATTATTATTATTATTTAGAACCATGAGCTACTATTTTCCTTTATTTTTTTAAATTTGCAAGGTCATACATAAATTTGTTGGTTTGAGAAAGAAAAATTTCTTTTAAGAAAGGAGATGTGAAAAAAATCCAAGGTGTATATTTGTGTTGAGTTAGTATCTATTTAATTTACCACTCATCATCTCTTTTATTAAAGTCGTCTTTGCTGTTTGTTTATATCTAAATTTTTGCATAATTATATATATATATATATATATATATATATATATATATATATATTACGATGAATCATTCATACAAAAAGTAAATTAGTAAAGTTAATGATGTAAAATGTCGAAACAAAATTTTAAAGATGCATTAACCTACAAATCACTCGATGAATGTTATGATTCTTGTTTTTTTTTTAAATTATAAGCTGTATAATGTCTTTCTTAAATACTCAAGTACTTTCGACTGTACATTCACTCATCTTCAGGCATGGAAATTATTTTGTTTTTGGTAAAATTCAGGTAGCATCTGAGACGAAAAAATATAATGTGAATGAAATATGTTTTTTTGTTTGTTTGTTTTTTTTAAATGTGTTATTGATAACGGATAAAAACGTGCAGTGCAGTCGCAACGCTAAGGTTGACTTTTTTTAAATTTAAGAGAGTGCGTTTTTTTACTAATACGGCAATTTGAGAATTTTTTGTTGTAGGAGTTTATCAGTCAATGTGGCATGAACTAAATAATTCAATAAATAGAGTAATGTCTCAGTTGTTATCCCGAAAATTTGAACGTCGGGTCAGATTGCCATTCAAAAAAAGGAACCTCCCCTGTGTAAGCCTCCTTCTGGATATTGGTAACATTTATTTATTAAGAATTTGTTTTAGTTTTCAAATTAGTCGTCAATGACTAAGAAATATTTTCCAATTGACTTTTTTTTATCCAATTTGTCTTATCTTCATAATTATTCTGAGAAATTTAAAATAATGTCGACATGGAAAACTAAAACACATTCTTAGTAAAAAAAATTACCAATATCGTTTTTTGGTTATAATGTGGATTTAAAAAAAATATATATTATACTTTATTTTCCCTGTTTTTGCTACATGTGTTTCTGGACTTGCGACCTTCACCACTCAAAGAGTGGATATTTCCACATATTATTAAAAGGAATTAATTTTCCTTATGTTTTTCGATGTTTAACCATTGTCTCTTTTGTGTAGTAGAAACCCAAATGTTTCTTCTTGGACTGGTGGCGAAAGTGTCCTTCTGCTTAAGATGTAAATAAAACAATTAGGATTGGTCAGAAAAAGGTTGACGGAAGGATATTTTCGTTCTTATCTTTTTCTGATCCCTGTATTTTCTTTTGCTAGTATGTTTATGCATATTCTTTCTCCATACATACATACTATCTTATTATAAGGGAATATATATATATATATATATATATATATATATATATATATATATATATACTTTCTATGTTGTGTAGGATTCGTGTGTGCTTGTGAGTAGTCTATTGTGTTTGTTTTTGCCAGTATGTGTATATATATTCGTTCTCCGTGGATACTTGTGTGTGTGTGTGTGTGTGTGTGTGTGTGTGTGTGTGTGTGTGTGTGTGTGTGTGTGTGTGTGTGTGTGTGTGTGTGGTCCGATCAGTGTATTTGTTCATTATGTGTGTATACCGTATGTTTATGTGTGCGGACTTATGATCTGTTTAGTGCTAGATTAAATTTGTTTAAGGAGGTTTTTTTTTTTCTGTTCGTAGGTCAGATTAATTTTTTGGCATAATTTTAAATTTACCTTGATTACATTTGTAGATGTGTTGCGATACAAAGAGTTTTCTATTGTCTGGTAATTTGATGTTGCTTTTGTGAAGGGAAACTCTGTTGCTTAGTGCTTGGTTATATATGACTTGTCGCATTTTGCGCATTTCAGTGCATAAATCACATTTTTGGAGTTGCAGTTAAATTTTTATTTAAAAATGACACAATACAGCTTGGTTGGATCAGTTGCATTCAGACCAAGAGTCTACTCTACGCAAAACATTGTAAGAAATTAAAAAATCTTTTCTAATCTATCTAGATAGCTCTGTTAATATCTATCTATCTATCTATTTCAGTCTGTTCATTATCTATATATCTATCTATCTCGGTCTGTTCATATCTATCTATCGCGATCTTTTCTATAGTTTTACATAATGCTCCAGTTGTATTGCAATCTAACTACAATCGATTTAATAATAGCCCAAACTAACATACAAGGAATCCCTTAAAAGTTCTCAGCCTGACCAAGAAAGGGTTTCAAGAGAAAATCTCATGTTTGGTCAAATTTATGGATGTGGGTGGGACGATAACTTTCCAGTAACCCTTCGTATACAAATGAATTAAACACCTCGTTCTTTTTTTTAAATGCAACTTTCGTATTTCTTAAAAGAATGAACACAGACAAAAAGGTATGTTTTATAAAGCATTAATATGTTCACAGCTTGCCCCGTGATTTTAACTGAATTTTGATCTGAAATTTTCACTGTATAATGTTTCACTGTTAATGTTATTGGTCAAGTTATAGGATTTTTTATTTGGTAAATTAAGTGCATTGTGTGTCAAATTGTGGTCAATAACATGTAGTTAAAAAAAATTATCCATGCAAATGAAATACGACTTTTTACAATAAAAATTATAATGCTGCAAAAGAAAAAGAAAAAGAAAAGAAAAAATAAGGAAAGAAAAGAAAAAGAAAGGAAAGAAAACGAATATAAAAAGAAAAGAAAACGAAAAGAAGAGAAAAAGAAAACGAAAAGAAAAGAAAAAGAAAAGAAAAAGAAAAACGAAGAAAAAGAAGACAAAAGAAAAAAGAAAAGAAAAAGTAAGGAAAGAAAAGAAAAAGAAAAGTAAAGAAAGAGAGAAGAAAAGAAAAAGAAAAGAAAAAAGGAAGAAAAAAGAAAAGAAAAGATAAAAGAAAGAAAGAAAGAAAAAGAAAAGGAAAAGAAAAAGAAAAAGAAAAGGAAAAGAAAAAGAAAAAGAAAAAGAAAAGAGAAAATAAAATAAAATAATAAGAAAATGTTCAATGGATGAGTCGAAGCAATAACTTGGACGGGGATCGAGACATTCTGGCCTATTAGTATTTTCGCAAAAGAAATTTTTCTTCAAAATATAAAAAGATATTAATAGGAAATGCGGATAACATTAAATAAGATTTAATTAAAATAAAATTGTCCAATTATGGGCATACTTTCGGATCATTCACTGACGTCATCGCTTAAAATAATGGTCGAGACTTTACAAATAGACGTGATTCGATTGAATCGTTTTTAAACAAATTAAAAGACGTGCTTTTAAAATAAATAAAAAATTAAATTCTTTTATTATGAAATCTAATTAACAATTAATCGGACGATATTCACTAATGATACTATACATAAAAATGCACTAATTTTCTTTACTGGAGGTTTATAAAAATCGCCAACCATATAACATAGAATGCAAAAAAAATATGAAGAAAACATGATCAAGAACTGTATGTACAACATTTAGTGCAGAAAGGGAAAGACCAGTCACCTGAAACACCTAAAAGTTGTATTCTGTAGAGTTACTAAAAAATCAGGCATAACTTACCATATGGAGTAAAATAGGGGGTTCACCAATTTGTATGGATTTAAATACAAATAAATAAGCGGGTCAGTTTTGAAGAAAAAGAAGGTTGAAAGAATATCCACATATTTTCTTCTTCTTTGTCCCCTTCAGGACATAAGCTATCATGGCCTTCCACATCTTCCTATCCCCTGTGGCCTTTAGCAGTTTTCTCCCTTTGCTAAAATTCCCGCCCTCCGTTCCGCCATATATTTAACTAAGCTCGCCAGATAAATGGCTCGCTGCCTCCCCCTAATCTCTCTTGCCTTCAATATGCCGCGTGATGGTCATTTTCCAAGTCTTCCTTCTTCACTATGTGTCCAAAGAATGCAATATCTTTTCCTGATTCTGAGTAGAGCTATTCTTTCTGCTGCCATTTTCTTTAAGACTTCATTGTTGCTTACTCGCTCCCTCTATGAAATTCTCATCATCCTTCTGTAGAACTACATTTCTGCTTCTTCCTCTTTTGTACATGTGCTATGAGAAGGCACGGTGGAGTAGTGGATAGCGGCTGGGATTGAGGAATCCAGTCGAATTCATTACATTCACATGCGATAATACTCTTCTTGTCCCCCCCAGCTATGGGTAAATAGCAGGACAGACCGGGTTCTATAGCCTTGGATGGCAACTGGTCTAGGAGAAGGACAACTCTGAATTCAAAACCTGCAGAGGGTCATTTGGGGATTTGGGGACCTTGTGGCGCGTAGTGCACCAGGTCTTTGTATTCGGCCCTTCAAAAAGTGTGGTTGGTTCTGCACAAAGCTTTCATCACTATAATCAAATCATATGTACTGGTGTCTGGGCTGTCGTTTCCTAGGAACTGAGCTGTTTGACCTTCATATCTCGATAAACAACGGGAGAGTCCACGATATATATTGGATGGCAACTGGTCTACCGCAGAAAGAAATGGCAAACTACTGCGGGAAAAAATGATAGCCTACACGTGTATTACGCGTGGCACATAACTGACTGACGTGTGCTATACTCTTAACACACGATCAGCAAACCAAGTATAACATCAATGGTATGTGGAACTATTAATCCGGAAGAAACTATCGATGATTTAGTGATTCGAGCAGTATAAAATGGGGTTGCTACCGATGTTCAACAAGTTCAATAAAAACCCAGTTCAGGGCAGGAAAAGAATTGCTAAAACATACAAGTAAAGTTAGATGTAACATATATAGAGAAGGGACCAAGAGTCAGTACAATTCAAAACGCAACAGACATCTGAAGAAGGCGGAACAGTATGCGACCGAAATGTTGCAATAAAACAACAAAGACTAAGAAATTAGTCTGAACTAACGTATATAAATTCATCAAAACTCTTAATTTAACAAATATTTTCAAACTAGAACTATGTGTTGCATATCCAATAGAAATACACACAAGAAGGTATTTCGGAATACATATGATTAAAATGAATCACCGTGCAGTAAATAAGATATCTTTCGCCACAGGTGTAAATGGTAATGGTAATATTAGCCGTTTCCTTATAAGGAAACATTTGGCATTCATTGACGGAAAAGCCAGTGCCGCTGTCAGTTGAAATTTATAAGATCTTTCTCTTAAAACAATCATTCAGGGAAATAGGTTTCTCAAGTCCAGTAGCTGTTATCGCTCTTTCCGCTATTGATAGGGGGTTTCCTTCCTAACATTTTGTTCAAAGTAGTGTGGAATGTCAATATCTTGATTATGTTATTATTTTCTCTTCGAATTACATGTGCTATCTGTTTTTGTTGTTTTTCAATCAAGTGTTGTGCTTTCTGTTATTTGGTACATTTTTTCTGTCTCTGATTCATTGACCGAACAACCAGAGCTACTCGAGTTATGCTTTTCTTCATTCCCTAGTCATCAGGCATGGATTAATGTGTAGTATCTGTTCTTCTCATATCTAATGGCTATGGTAATGTAAGCCGTTTCCTTATATGGAAACATTCGCATTACATTGACCAAACAGCCAGTGCTACTCGAGTTCTGCTTTTCTTCATTCCCTAACCATCAGGCTTGGATCAATGTGTAGTATCTGTTCTCCTCATCTCTAATAGTTTGGTAATATTAATCGTTTCCTTATACGGAAACATTCGGTATGCATTAACCGAACAGACGTTGCTACTTTCTCTTAAAACAATTTTTCAGGAAAATAGTTTTCTCAAGTCCATTAGCTGTTATCGCTCTTTCCAGTACTGATGGGGGGTTCCTTCGTAACCTTTTGTTTGGAGTATTGTGGAACATCAACATCTTCATTATGTCATTATTTTCTCTTCGAGTTACATGTGCTATCCATTTTTGATGTTGCTGTTGCTGAAAATCCACAAGTGATCCGCTTTCTGTTATTTGGTAGATTTCTTTGTGATTCTGTAGCGCCAATCCACGAGGTTCAAGAAGGATGCTCTTCGCTAAGAGACATAGGCTTCATTCACCCATATCTAATTTTTAACCCTTGGTGCTATGCATGACATCCATATGAAAGTTTCGATCTGACGAGGCTATTTAAGAACATGACTCAAGTCCTTAAATTAATGTTTCAGTATTGTATCAATTTGTGCTGAAACTACACCTAACACAATTTCCTTAATTCCTTCACAATGTTTGTTATACCTGATCCATACACCAAACGGCATCTTAAAGTGCGTAGAAAATATTTAAATATTTAATATATTCGTTTTGTGATGCTGTCAAGATCAGTGGAATCGGTCTACACTTGACGTCTTTTATACGACATATGAATATTTAATATCTCTCTATATTTCTGTGATGAGGTATTGTAATTATTTACATTATTCGGTCTGTTGCCCTCATCTTTAATGAGATTAACTGGTCGAGGAATTAGAGCGATCTACTCCGGTGGACGAAATAAAGGGTTCACGTCGAAATTCCAATCACTTCAAGAACGCCGGAGCGTACAACGGTGAATATGGCAATAAAGATGAGGACAACAGTCTGAATAATGTAAATAATTCCGAATATTTAAATTTAAAATGCAGCGTTCCAAAAATAAATAAATAAAATAAAACAATAAACAAATACCACGATATTGGCAACATTTTTTTCTGATAATGAGTTCTGCAGTCGAAAGTACTCGAAGAAAAACAGAAGTAAAAAAAAAAACAAAACAAATTTTTGACGGTTTAACTACAATTTTGATCTGAATGCTATAATCTACAGCATTTGTCCCATGATCAGGTGTGGTCGTAGGTTCACTGCGCAAACTGAGCACCTAATCATTTCCCTTCAAATATCTGGATCGAAAGCCGGAGAGACATTCATTCATCCATAGCGTGACTTGGCCAAAGTGACATGGCGGAGCCCATCCCACCTGAGAAGATTAAAAAGATTAATTAATTAATTTACAAAATTACGAATTCAAGCGCAGTGCTACATTGGCGACAAGGTGTCATCATTTTACAGTTTAAGTGACTAGACGTAACTGTGAGTTCCATGCTAACAGTTTCTTCTCTCACACTTTTCACTTGTGGAACTCTTCTGTCTTCTTGCTTCCCCAGTCATCTTTGATCTTCAAAAATTTAAATGTAATGTCAATTGTTATCTCCTGTTTTCTTTATACCTGTCTTTTATTGTCCTCCCTCTTTAATAATGTTTTTTTCTCATATTCTCTTAAACTCATCTTTATCGCGATGCTTGGCGTGAAATGATTAAAAAAAAGATAGATAGACAGATAGATAGATAAAGAAAGGAATGTTAAATATATTTCCCCAATTACTATGTAATAATTCGGGGGATCAGTTTTTTACTTATTAACAATAGAAAACAGATCCCTAACTTTATGTCCATAAGAAATATACTGACCCGTGCCATAAAATATGATGATTTACTTTGTTGATGAATATTACGACATCGAAACTTTCGTGCCATCTGGGGAATACCAAGTGAAACAGCAACCTTCTTCTTGGTTCCAGCCTGTCTGGATAAATAGAAAGAAAGAAAGAAAGAAAGAAAGAAAGAAAGAAAGAAAGAAAGAAAGAAAGAAAATAAGAAAGAAAGAAAATAAGAAAGAAAGAAAGAAAGAAAGAAAGAAAGAAAGAAAGAAAATAAGAAAAGAAAGAAAATAAGAAAATGAAGAGACTGAGAAAAATATTCCTGTTCTTTACTGTTCAGTCTCCTTAACAATGATTTTCTTTTTCTCTTATTCTGATGAAGGCTCGCCTTGGTCATGGATACGTGGCCGTTGATTCCATCAGGGGAACCGTCCGTCCTGGCTGTTGACTTAAGTCTAGGATGTCCTCTGTCCAGCGATGCTGTGTGTCATCCCTGCACTGGATGCATACAAAAGCTATACAGCCCAATTCTCCGTTGTGCTAGATGGCCATTGACCCTAAGAGAAGGTTCATCCACATTTTGACAGATCTTTTTAATCATATTCGGTGTCGAGATATCAGCTTCACCAGAAAAGCCTGGTGGGGTACAAATTTAATTACTGATTATGCTACTATGAGGTAAATAGTACTGGATGATATGGTATCTGTAGAAATCACAGAGTGAGCTGGCAGGATTCGAAAGTACAACAGTTTATTGGAAAATAGAAAAATACAATGAAATATTAAACAGACTGACATTGTTCGTTGTACAAAGATGAAATGAATTTCTATCTATCTATCTATCTATCTATCTATCTATCTATCTATCTATCTATCTCAGTCTGTTCACATCTATCTATCTCAGTCTGTTCACATCTATCTATTTCAATCTGTTCATATCTATCTCAGTCTGTTCACATCTATCTATCTATCTATCTATCTATCTATCTATCTATCTATCTATCTATCTATCTATCTCAGTCTGTTCATATCTATCTATTTCAATCTGTTCATATCTATCTCAGTCTGTTCACATCTATCTATCTATCTATCTATCTATCTATCTATCTATCTATCTATCTCAGTCTGATCATATCTATCTATGTGTGTGTGTGTGTGTGTGTGTGTGTGTGCTGAATAAAATTAATAGACTGGTCTGTATGTCACACAAATAGTAGTGAAAAAGAGCCTTTGCGTCTTAAGACGAGAAGTTGAAATCTCCCGACATTCAGGTCCGCCAACATTGAAATTTTTGACACCCATTATTTTTAATTGTTTCTTTTTCTTACTAGCTCTAAGGATTCTCGACACAGATCTTTGGAGATGAGCCAACAAACGAAAGGGTCTTTAATTTTGGCCAACACTCGCCAAAAGATCCAAAGATAATGACAAAATCTAGAAAGACTTCTATTTTGGTTTTCAAAATGGTGAACCTTTATGTCGGGAGATGTCAACTTCTCTAAGCAGACAAAAATGAAATAAAAATGGACGGCAAAGCCGCATTAAATAGAATTCAATAATTCTTATATATTTCATTGCTTCAGATAGTATGTGAGAGGATGTATCAATAAGTTCGTAGCCTAACAAGTAATTACCACTGAATTTTGTTCGGATATTTTAATGTTCGAACTTTGCTATTAATATTCATCACTAGATTAAGTGCATTGTCACAGACAGGACAGTTTTCTCTTTACACACATGAAGGCATGCAAAGTCCTGCATTTGATTTTGCCGTATTTGATCACGTGGGGTGCAAAAATATATACCAACATCTTCATGGTCTTCCTAAGAAAAGTAACTCTTTAAAGATGCAAGTAGAATTACTTCCCTTCTTACCATTTTAATAGTGTCGCAACCTTTATCAAATTTTATCGGAAAATGAATATTATTTTCTTTAGTATTCTCCTGGCGTCAGTATAAACTGAACTGGGGCCTATATATATATATATATATATATATATATATATATATATATATATATATATATATATATTTAACTTTACAGGAGTTATTTTTCATCTTTTTATTAGTTTATTAAGAACTTTAAGTAAAATGGTAACAATGTATGGAAAAAAAAGGCGATAGTTTAAAATGACGCTAAGAGGATATGGGTTGAATAAATATCTTTTAGTGTTTTTCTCATATTCTCTAACAGTCATTAACTCCTTGCGTCTTCGTGGATTTATTGCCTTGCTTGGGGGGAAATGATTTATTAAAATGGCAAACAGGACTACAAACATCTTAGGTTGATAGCAAATACTTTAACATACTTTAAAATAATTGTTTATTCATACAACGTCAGAGGATGAATTTAATTATAGAATGTTGGTTATTGTAAGCCGGAAAGTCACAGAACTCATAAAAACGCTGACCGAATCCTGTTCCAAATCTTTTATCACTTTTCCTTTTCAGCGTCCGCTACCTTCAAGATCCGTCTAAAAGGATTACTCACAACCCTTGCTGTAGAAGATACGTTGCCTGTCCTGGCAGCTTGACACACGTGTTTCTCGTTCCTCGTGGGAACAAGTGGAGAAATCTCCCTTCAAGACACCAACCCAAAGGGAAAACTACACACGACCCTTGCTGCAGTAGACACGTACCAGTTCTAGAACTTTAACACTCAGATTTCTCGTTTCTCAAGGAAACAAGCGGAGAAATTTCTGTCTACGAAAGATTTACTCAAGGGAAGAATTTTGTTAACTAAGAAACCCAACTCTTTTCCCGCAAAAAATCACTATTGTGCACTCTCTCTTTTCAACCACAAATAAAGCTGTTGAACAGTTATTTCGAATCTTGGGTTTGTCCATTCCACTCTGTAGACTGCCGATCGCACACACACACACGCGCGCACACACACACACACACACACACACACACACACACACACACACACACACACACACACACACACATAACCTTTTTAAAATGATTTCCATGGATTTTTACGAATTGACACTAACTTCCACTGAATTGTGTACTCCATCTTAAAAGACCGATTCTGGTTTTGATTAAATTCCTTCTTTGAGGATTTTTTTTTAATTTTGAAGATGCTAAAGCCACTAACCAAACAAGGAATGTACGCTGAAACGAAAACAAGGAGTAAAACTGAAGAATAATGCACATTACGAAAAATTCCCACCCCTGTTACACGATTGTTTACTGCGCTGTATTTTCCTACAGTGATGTTCACCCTGTACAAGACCTGGGAGCCACTCAATGTAGAGTGTTGCAGAGTAAAAATCACGGTTTATGTGAAACATAATGGTTAACTCTAAACTTGAACAGGTTAAGATTGTAGTGATCAGGAATGCATCCTCTTGGGAGTGGGTTTCACAAAGCAGCGATTCGTGGGGAGGTGCTGCTTGAATGGAACTTACATCTCACCAATGACACACGAAGGGAATGAGATGTGGTTTGCTACAATTTGCATGGCATGGCGGTTCATAGCCGTGAAGGTTAGAACTGGTGAAACTAAGCAATGTAGTTCGTCTGAGCACTTTCCATAGAAATAGCGATAGAACAGCGCGAGGCTTTGAGAAAGTGGGTGTAGGGTGGAAAATAATTCATCGCCTACAAGGACGCGGAGACGCTTTTGGACTGACTGTACCGAGACTAGAAAATGAGGACTGAGCATCTCCGACCCATATATGGAAAGAGCACTCCATTTTAGGCCTGGTCTCGCTCTCATAAAGCTAGAGAATAGCACGAGGAGTCAGGTACTTACTGGAGCGGTACAGGAACTGACCATTTTTCCAGCATCTTTAGCGATAGATCGTATCTACGGAATCTAGGGGTTGTTACCATCCAGTAAAGTCAATGGTTGATATCCTTGCGAAGTATTGGTTCTAGTGTATGGTTGAGTATCGATCCTAGAGTGATTCTCGAATTAATGGATTTCTTTTTTAAGCAATAAAAAAAAAATCTGAGTAAAACGAAATTAATTGATTCTTTACAAATTGCTTTACTTACGTTTCGGATACGAAACTGAGCAGATGTAAAGCTTTCGAGAAAATAATCTGGATGAAGAGACTGTGCTTTCCTTAAATAGGGAAAAAGAGAGCCCTGTTTTTCTGAGTCGTTCTGCGTGGCTGAACGGTAAAGCACACTTGATCGAGCGGAGGTTTTCCTTACAAAGAGTGACGCAAGATCGATTACCGCTAAAAAATGCGTTCTTCTTTACTAAGATTTTTTTGAAAGCGAAGGCTGATACACCTAACGCACACTGATTAATAAATAAAAATGGGGCGTCTATTTCAAATACGGAGTATCCACTATAAAAACGTTTGAAGTAATATATATATGCGTTTTTATTACTTCAAACGTTATTATACTGGACAATTCTTATTTGAAATAGATGCCCCAATTTTATTTATTTATTAATTAAACATTGTTTAATACGTCTATCATCCTGCTAATTTGAAAATGTATCCCCCAGCACTGTTTAATAAATAAATAAAAATGGGGGGGGGTATATTCTAAATAAGAACTCTTCACTATAATAACGTTTGCAGCAATAAAAGTATCGAATTAGAAATGAATCTACTTTCGTATATAATAAAAATATAGTTTTAAGGTATACTATATTCATAGGTTAATACAAGGTATTCAACATGAAACAGACTGTCACCACTGGGCGTTTACCTCAATGTTCACTTATATATATATAAGGTTCAAACACTAATATTCCATGGCTATAATTATATTATATTCTTGCTCTGCCTTGTACGTAGAGCTCTACCTGGATTTTATCCTCTTGGAAATATATATATATATTGACCAATAATATCTATCTATCTATCTATCTATCTATCTATCTATCTCTTTCTCTCTCTCTCTCTCTCTCTCTATATATATATATATATATATATATATATATATATATATATATATATATATATATTTATTAAAGACATTTTTATGTTTAACGTTGTTATTTATAGATACAAGTATTTAAGCAAATGCTCTGTTTATGATAAACAGTATTAAATAACATTTATATAGATAAATTGTGGGACCTTGTCCATTTCTTAACATATGACGTCATTTGTTTACATTTGATACGCCAGAGCAGTTATGAATGTACGAGATTCATGGAAGATTGAAATTTATAATCAGTAAATTCGACCTTGTCTTTGTGGCCGAGCGGTCAAGGCACGTCAACGTATATGACGGTTCCGTATAGGATGCAGGTTCGAATCCTGTCAAAGAACGAATATTTTCTATGAAAATTTCTCGGACATTCAGGCCGGTAAATGTTATTTAATACTGTTTAACAGAGCATTTGCTTAAATACTTGTATCTATAAATAACAACGTTAAACATAAAAATGTCTTTAATAAATTGTCGGACCTTGTCCATTTCTTAACATATATATATATATATATACGAAGAGGAGAACTGTAACACTCATATATGCACAGGTAGATAAAATAAATAAAGAATATCAGTGTCAAAAGTGGGAAGTTATTTCCCTTGGATTTGCAGTCACGTGACACTACAGAAATCAAGCGACACGTTAATATATAGACAGTGTG